AGGAATTGTAAATAGTGTTTTGAATGAATAGTTTTTCTTTTTTTCAAGCGAATTAATTGTAAATAGGATTTTAATAGTTAGCATTGTTGTCAATAAAATTTTTTCACATTCATTTATTATTATTATTATTATTATTATTATTATTATTATCATTATTATCATTATTGAAATGCTATTCTTTTAAATTAGTTTGGTATTTGACGAAGTCAATACAAAAACAGGTATTAAAACATAGTATCAATGGCGCAGAAAATGAAATAAGCAAATGATCTGATACCCAATCGGGTCTGTGTTTGCTTAAATTCATCATCGCAGTTCCTTATAAAACGTGCATACCGTACGTTGTTGATAATTTTTGCTCCATGGGTTACATTCTAAGAATCTGCATGTGACGGCTTAACCTTGCACTATAAAGGAGTGTGTTATCTTGTCACAAGTCACTTTCAGGAAACTTCTAAATCAAACGTATCGGCTTTTTAGTTTCCTTTATTTACCTGAAGTTTCGCTTTTCTGACACAAAAGCAAAACAAGGAATATTACGTTGGGTCACGTTCTTAGCAGATATAAATATCGCAACGAATAAAAGAGTAGCCGTTTTTGCGTCGTTTGGTTCTGATTGTTTTAGTTCAAGGGGAAGAACGTAACCTTGGTTAGGACTATTTTATCCAATTTGTCTCATTTTTTGGTACAAGAAAAAAGGACGAAGATACCTCTAAAAATCATCCCCTGTTTTGCTTGCAACCCTCCGGGAATAAAAAACCTAAAGAACAGTCGTAGTCACCGGGCAGACAGGTTCGGTAACGAACACACTGTTATCACCTAGCTAAAGATAGAAAAGTAATTTATCGTAATTTATTCAGGTTTTTTTGGTCAGCAGTTATTTTTTTGAGCACAGTAGGCCATTTTACGGTTATGCATGGACGCGAGGCTGCCGGTGACTTTTTTTCAGATACAAACCTTCGTGCTCCATTATGTAAATCAAGTTATTCTTATGCTAGCTATTATTTTTTCAGGGGCAATTTCCCTAACAAAGCAAAGGAGATTTGTATCAAAACAAAAGATCACGTACCGTCAACCTGAATAAATTACTGTAGCCCGACAGGTTTGACAGCTTACCAAAATAGACACAATATCGCGAAAGAAAATGAAATAAGCGTTTGTACTGATGATCAATCAGATATATTCACTTTCTAAATTTGTGAATCAGAGATGCTAAACAGAAGTCCTGAAAGTACATCTACAGGAAAAGGGAAAGTTGAACAATCCTCCCAAGGAAGAAAGGCAGTGTAGTTCTTCGCAATTTGGCCTCAGCAAATGTCTAAATCAAATATGTATACCACTTATATAATGGCAAAGAAAAGGGGCATAAATATTGCCGTTATGATATGTCTTGTCTTGGTTTGGAAAAACACTCTAAGCGAAGGCTCTGGTGAGTAAATCTTTTCTCTATTGTGGTATTTTGTTACACCTTACTTGCTTCCGCAAAAATTTCATTTGTCAAATAGAATATACCATGCGGAGGCCAAGCGAGGACAAAAACTAATTGGATAAGTCACAATAGAGTATATCACACTATTATAGTGAAGTACAAAAAGTTTGGACAGACATTCTGTATTTCTTTACCTCCTATACGTCTGAAACGGAATTAGGCTGAACGGAATGTTAGAAACCTTCTGAATAGACAATAACGCCGAAACGTGAGTTTCTCAGTTCCTCATCAAAAGTGCACGTTTCAGTTTGCTTTTTGTATTTGGCTGTGAAGCCTAAGTCTCTACTCCCTTTTTAGGAAAGTTGAATAGACAAACACAAACTGGTACTGTTTCAGAAATTCACATTCGTGCTTGCGCAAAACACTCAGATAAAACAAATGAATTGATGTTTAAAAAAAACTGCGTTGGATGCTAGGAAAACAAGCCTAATCAGCCGTTCGGTGTTCTGTGAATAACCCTCATGGATAATATACACTGATTTGCTGCTATGAAAAATGTTAGTAAGTATCGTAATAAATATCTGATAGCTTCCTGGGGCGTAGCCATGCAGGCATTTTTTCAGGTTAAGCCCAGGAGGTTAATACTAATAATAATAATTATTATTATTACTATTATTATCATTATTATTATTATTATCGTTACATTAATAATGATGATGACTTATATTTCGTTTGACATTTTTTTATGGCACGAATTTAACACATAAACTAAAGGCACAGCATGCGCGCTGATGAAGAATTTTAAAATAAGTAAGAATAGAAAAAATGTTAGGTGCACCGATAAAAGGCTTCAGTCCATAAATAGATTCAGCATGATACAGGTTTGTAAAGTGCAAAAGAAGCAATTCCAATGTTTAATGTTAAAACTGAAGTAAAATACCACGAAATCAATTTTTCGCTTGTCTATGTCCAATGTAAAAAGTAACTTGCAAAATCTGTCTCTGACCCTGTAAAAGTGCACGTTTGTTTAGAACATTAGCACGGAAATGCAATAATATATAGATTTAGCCAGGGCTAAAAGCGAAGCTCTGTTAATAATACGTGTAAACAAAAGAAATTTAAATCGTGTAATGCTAAACGGGGACGACAATGAAAATGGCTTCAAGACTAATAGATCTAATTGGCAAAAAAAAACCAAGTTGCACGTGCAGCACCCTTTTCCTCTAATTAGTAAAAAACAAATTTGCACGTGCAGCACGCTTCTTTGTCTTTCCCTTGCCGTTGTTTTGCACGACTACAACGCTGTTTTGTGCTACTAAAACGTCAAACGTCCTAGTTACACATTATTTTCATGGAGGAATTGTCGTACGAGCTTACCCAGTATTTTGTTTTCTGTGTTCGTGTTCGCTTTTATTTTTCACTGCCGCTCATTTTCACCTTGCTGGCCGCTAGCGCTTCTCATTTCCTCACCGCCGCTTTAAATTTCCACGTTTTTCTTCCTACGAAATTCGTCTCCTTTGTTTTCAATAACTCGCTCTAGCTCTTTCTCTGTTATCCAGGTTAGTGTAAACACAAAAAATAACGCCAAAAAAGACACGACTTTGTTGTTGTGCGGGCGGCCTTGTGATTTCCTTCCAAATAAAACCTTGAGTTGCATTTGGGTTGCCATACTTGTTGATTGGGTTATTTTACATTGGTATGCCTGTGGTGCGGACGGTCGATCGCTCGCTCGCTGGCTCGCTCGGTGTACGGTCACATGATTACCAAATTTTCTCGGATCGGTAGATTACTACATTTTCTTAGCTATGGGGCTTCGTGCCGCGCGTGGAGCTCCGCCATGAACATGTCAAGTCCTTTTCCGAAAAAAGAATGCCATTATCTGTATACTTGCAAGGAATGCTTGAGCGTCAGTGTCAATTATCTACCATCCGTCAATAAAATGCAAGTATAACAGACTTTTTTTGTACAAAAATCGCTGATGACTCTTTTTCATATATGTGAGTCAAAAGTAATCTCTTTATATGCATGCAAGAGAGCTAAGGATGATAGTCAATCATTTGTTCAATGGTACTTTAATTTATGATCTTTGGCTTCGCATGCTTTGGCTTCACAAGCGTCTCTGTAAATTTCTCATGAAACCATAAAAGCATTTAGGAACAAAAGCAGAAGGCCTGGAATAGACGTTCTAAGCAAGGGAGCCTGGGAACTGCTCACCAATAGAAAGCAAAACAGCGACACAAGGGAACAACGTTAGTTCAAGCAATTTTGGTCGGGATTCAGCATGGAAAAAATAAACTGCTCCCTGCGAACAGCCAAAATTGTTACGACAACAGACTTTTGGTTCTAAAATGGCTTATTTTTAGTTCCATCAAACTATTTTAACAACACATGCTAACCTACACTAATTTCTGCTCAAATTCCTGTTAAGCAACTGTTGCTTTCAGTCATCCATTCCAGTTAGGGCGTGGATCACTTAGGTAAGATTTTCCAAAGTGTCTTAACACTTTGGAATGTAAGAGGCCCTAAAAGACTTTAATCATAAAACTGCTTGTGTGAGGAAACGTTGCTATTATGTTAGGTTCATCGAAAACCCTATATAAATGTATACCCGGCTCTGATGCTTATAAGTTGGATAGCGCTTAATTCACTAGATAAATTTTGGTGTATTTTCGTTCTTGCGACCTTGAAAACTAACCCGTTTTCTCACCACCTGTATAAGTGCAACTTCATTCAAAATTTGGACTATTAGCGCTTTTTTGTATATCTCTGAAACGACTAGAACGAATTTTTTTAAAATCTCTTCAAGTAATCTTCATAATGTACGAAATGATGTATGAAACGTTCATTTACATTGATTCACTGCAACACTTTAAAATTTCAAGACAAATCTATTCTACTTACCGGTCAAAAATCCGCGCTACAACATTCACTGTTTTGATGTTCTGCTAATTTTTCCAAATTAATGCGGACAATACATATATCCATACCTAGTACATTTCAGTGTGAGTATTGTCAATGTTTTACATTCAAAAGATGAAATAAATTCAAACTAAAATGTACTAGTCATGGAGGTATGTATAGTGCGCATTATTTTGGAAAAATTAGCCTAACGTCAAAACAGTGAATGTTGTAGCACTCCGTAGGGTCGGGTAGGAGAGAACCCTGGGAACGAGGTTACAAATTGACCACTTAAGCATATCTACACTAAAACTTTTCTAAGATAGTCATACTGACATAAAGACATTCAGAATCTTACCTCAAGAAAATGCAGCAGGTTAACCTTCCTTTGTAGCCTTTGCCAGTCTCTTTGGCAGTGCAAGTGAGCGAAAAAAGCGGGCGAGCAGCGTCAAAGCGAGCAGGTCTGTGGAGAATAGAAATGGAAAGGCACCAAGCCTTCATCTCTCCCCAGCCCCGGGCACGCGGTTTTCGTTCAACACTTCTCGATCTGCTTTCCCTACTGTCTTGGAGCCTTCTACTGCGCTTATATATATGCACTTATTAGTTAAATATGTCAATTGTTATTTTCCCTCCCTTTACAGAGCATTCAGAAAACGTTGAACAAGTCTGCTCCATGTACCACTTTAATTCCCAAGAAGAAAACTGGGAAGAGGCCGAGGAAGACTGCAAGAAAATAAACTATGATGGTCTGGTCTCCATGCAAACCGAGGGGGAATGGGTGTATTTAAAAAACATTACAGCCAACAGAGAGCTAAAGATAGCACTTGAAAAAACACGCTGGTTCATTGGCTTACAGTACCTTTCGCATAAATGGTGCTGGTCTGATGATACAAAGGCCTGTATAAACCAGACAACAGATGCCAATTGGCGTTGGTATGCTGGAGAACCAAATAACCCTGATACTGAGCATTGTGTTGAGATGTTCAATAGCGGAGAATACAACAACATCGATTGCTCAAAACCATTTGGCCACACAGGGTTCATTTGTGAAAAAAAAGCTGGTATGTAACGTCACACTGAATAATTGCAAATTAAATTGTTAGGGAGTTTCATTTGACTGAGAACAATAATAAATAATTAAAGAAGCCCTCTGTGAAGCGGTCACTCATCAAATTCCCAGAATTTGCTTCCCATATTCACCCCGTAAATTTGACCTCTATTAAGAAGTCACCTCGATAAACGGACGCTAACGCCGTTCAAACTTAGACAACAGTGCCGATGTTTTAACACAACGTCGCATGTTCACTTTCTTTAAACAGCTCATAAAAGCATAGATATAGGCAACGAACGAAAGCTGTGTTGGGCGGATATTCTTACATGGGTGTGACCCGTTAGCAAACGAAGCGCACAATGCAGCTCGCCAACGGCCAACAAAATGCTGTCCGCTTTGGACTAAAGTAAATCGTGTCCCTATGATAAGAGCTTTTCAATACTTCACAGACCTCTTTGGCAAGCTCATGACTAAAACATTAGCCAAATTCGAACAGACGTCAAGGCGATCCCATTCTTGAAGTCGAGAGTGTTCCCTGCTTTTCAATTTTTTTTTCAATTTTTCCCACTATGTACTAGACTTTTGTAACGTTTACCCGGAGAAACCGCTTCGTAGAGGTTTCCTATAGAGGTTTGCCAGTAGTTCTGGAGTGTAATTAGAACGAGACATGAAATTTGACGCTTTTATAATGAGGACTACTCAATTTCTTCAAAATATTTTAAGGTGGCTTCGTCATTAATGCAGGTACATTGAACTATGACGAACTTTTCGTCGTAGCTTTTTCGTTCTTAACGTAATGGCTCCGAAACTTTACAAAGAACAACAGATGTCACTCAGCTGAGAAATAGTCCAATATTATAGCTGGTTAGTATTTTTTGCGAAATTAGCGCTTAAATAAACCCTACTGTGTAAAGAAAATAGCCTCGAAAAACACATTTTACTGGATATTTTTGAGTGAAATTTCTGTTATCGGCCTTTGTTGATATAAAAAATATACCAGAGAAATTTCAGAGAAGCTTTAGAAGCAGAAGTCCGTAACTAAAATTCCATCAAAATTCAGCTTTCAATCGCATTGGAAACAGAAAACTTATTAATTGCCGGAACAAAGGCGTTCAGGGTTGCTTTGAATCAAAATCTAACTTAACCTTGTTTAAGCAGAAACTGTGAGGGGACTTTAGAGGTATCCCTTATAATGTCAAACTCAGAAAACCCGCGTGAACACCTGAAAATTTTCGGTAATGTTGCGGTGACCAACACATAACGTTCAGGACACGCGAGTAAAAATCAAAATCACAATTGTGGAAACCAAATACCGTTGCTGTTTGCTAAGCTTAGTTCGTAAAGTATCTCTGCGGTTTTGCGAGTTTCAGAGTAAGCCCATAAAGCAGGACGTGTTTCGATTCAAGATATCGCTCCAAATATCAATTGGTCTCTAAAGACTTTTCGTCTCTCGTAGGTTAATTTTAATTGCAGTCTTGTATTGTTTCAAATCTGCCTATACCATTTGTGTGAATATTTTCTAGCTTGTAGCAATGTTTCCGGAGAGTACATTTTCAGATATCCTATCACAACAGACGGGCCTTTTACAAGAGAGAACAAACGTCAGAGCAGTGTGGCCAAGCCATCGATCTTCTTCAAGGAATCAACAATCCAAACGTATCAGTCAACAGATGGTAGTCATGGTAAGCTGGCCTAATCTTTTGCTGTTTATAGATTTTCTATTAACGGGTTTAAAACCCAGCAGATCATGTTTTTTTTCAAAGTGAAAGCCTTTTAAAGAAAAAGGATTATGTTTATATATAATGTGTAAAATATAGAGCATTATAGAGAAATACTGGACACAAAGAAACAGGAACATGACCCCTTCATGCTATGATGTAAATAACAGAAGAAACCTCAAAAGATCTGGTACTGCAACTTTTTGGTCGAAATTTGCCTTTGGCCACATTTCGCAGTGAAAGGGTTAAGGAGAAGACGACTAATGCATCCACATCCAATTGCGATAATAGAAGTACATTGTTGTAAAAGAATAAACTTTCCATAGTAAAGGACACTGGTTTCTTAACTTGCAGAGAACCTACTACCAGAAAAAGTCGAGTTTCCTTCTGATCGCCCCAGTAAGGGAGCAAATATCACTTTCATCGTGTCTACAGCTCTAGCTGGGTTGCTGGTGGTCCTGCTGATTGTCTTAGGATTCATTCTTTGGCGAAGGAGATTCCATAAAAACAAAGGTAAAAAAAGATCCTGTAAACTTTAAATATTCCAGTGCTCTTGATCAGTAGGACTTTACGTGTCACTCTTGTCCAAAAAGGCTATATGTAATACAAGGTTAAATCTACATAGTGGCTAATTAGTGTCTGTCTGAGTTTGATCAATAGTGCTCATTGGCGAGAGTTTTGCTTGAACGCTGGCACCGCCCATAATAAGCTTGGCTAGCCGGAACAAATCAGGAGGGGGCTAACGTTAACTGACTAGCCCGCGGATAGTGAGAGGCTGCCAGCTCTGTGTCAAAAAGTAGAGGGCTGGAGAGGGAGCTTTTGACACATTGATTAGGGTTTTTAGTGAGAGAGCGGTGCAAAGTCAAAATTGTCCCTCCCAACGAGAATTGTATTGTCAATATCAGAGCTCTGGGTGAGGGATTGTCTGTCATGGGTGGAGAGGGTGAGTACTTAGTTTGTGGACTTTGCTCTCTAGAGACTGCAGGCAACTCATATTTGCACCAAAACAAGTAAGATAATAGGCCATTTCCGAGTTCCCCCGGGTCTCTGCATGAAAACGAGGTTAAGTGCTCAGCCTTTCATATGGAATGATTTTTCATTCTCATGCAAATAAAACTCATTTGTACAAGACAGGTTGTGCACTTGGCCTCATTTTGAAAGTGAAGGTTTTTTTAACTCGGAAGTAGCCTATTAATCAGGCATATTGTACAAATTTTTCACTTCCTCGTTTTGTTACTCCTTTCTACATTACATTACCCTGGGTGCCAGAGACTTTTCTAGCGCGGTTTTTGGTTTCTGTCAAGTCTTTATAGTGACCCACGCGAAAAGTTTTTCTCCCGGCTTCGCCGCTCGTGGCCTCGGCCGTCGGCCGACACCGAAAATTCCCGCCGCACGCGAGAAAAACCTCTGTTACCCAGGGTAACATTACATCCTTACATGTATTTTCTTCCTTCCTTCTTCCTTCCTTAATACTTAACAGCTCCCTGTCATCTTTGCCTTCTCTGTCCATGCCCTTTATGTTTCTCTAGAATAGTCCGGTATTTTTTTGTACTGAGAATTACAACTCTTTAGGCAATAATTTTCGGGTTTCGTCGTGTTGCAGTATTTTCCAACATCAAAGGATGCACTTGCGTCGGTTTACTATTTCAAATTCATTTTCTAGATTTTTCGGCTCCCTACACCCCCAATGTCATTATTATTCATTTTGAGTTCGCTTGAGTAAAAAGAATCCGATGTTCTGAAAGGGGTCCCTTTATAGGCTTAACACATTTTTCACTGGCTATTCTGGTTTACTGTACTGTTAACTGTAATTCGAACTCAAGAAAGAAAGAGTCGCGGGATACCAGGGGCGGATCCAGGATTTTTTTTAGGAGGGGGTGCACTCGTCTCTTGCTCTACTTCAACACTAATAAACCACATAGTTTTTTTTTTTTCAGAATACCAGTTTTATTAGAAAACCGCAGTTCATCTCAGGGACGGGGGGGCACCCCCTGCACCCTCCCCCTAGATCCGCCCCTGGATACTCATCGCATTTGAATCATTTTTTGTTATAGGGGATCGGCAAGAAAGCCATGAGGTTGACAACATCTCACGAGAGCCATCTGTACCAAGGCAAACCTCGTGCGATGAAACCTATTTTCTTCCGAACGCGACTTCTAGTTCTTTACCGGATGAGACACCAATAGAAGGGCCTCACCTCTACGCAGTTATCAACAAGACTGGTAATAAAGACGGTCATAGTTCAAGCAACATGTCGATGCCTTGCCAAACAATGCCATACAGAGACGAACATGTCGTCACATTGTGCCCGACATTGGAACCTTTGTTGAAGGCCAAAGAACACATTTATGAAAATACAACACAGGAAGACTCGAAACGAAAGCCACCGTTATACCCCACGCCATATTGTGCAAGAGACAACAGGCCCCAGGAGCATTCAGACGACACAGATGGGAAAAAGGAGTACGTGTATGCGGTTGTTGACAAAACCAGGGCCAAGAAAACTAAAGATGAGGTAATTGTAGAGATAGTTATGTTTCGTAGTTACGTGCAATTGTATTCCCATGGAATTTGACCTTAGGAAAATTTATCAAGAAGTATTCAATCCATCTATTCACAGATATCTAGGAATAGTTATTCATGTGGCTAGAAAGACTTTGTGCACTCGGGGACATTCTCCGGATCTTGTTTACTGTGGGTAATGTCGACTGAGATATCGGTCGACATAGCGGTCGATATAGCGGTCGACAGTCGGTCGATATAGCGGTCGACAGTCGGTCGATAGTCGGTCGACAGTCGGTCGATAGTTGGTCGATAGTCGGTCGATAGTCGGTCGATGGTCGGTCGATAGTGGGTCGATAGTCGGTCGATAGTGAGATAGACTATCGGCCGAGTATCGGTCGATATTCCGTCGACGCACCTCGACTTACTATCGGTCATATGTCGGTGATATATCGGTCAACTGTCGGTGATATATCGGTCAACTGTCGGTGGTATATCAGTCAACTGTCGGTGGTATATCGGTGAACTGTCGGTGGTATATCGGTCAACTGTCGGTGGTATATCGGTCAACTGTCGTTCGAATATTAGTCGTGTGTTAATTTATCAGGTGAGTCCAATGGCTTTTTTTTTTAAGCAAAGACGTCATTAATTACTGTTATCATGCGATGGGGAACATGTGGCAAAGCAAGGCGCGATTACGCTATGAAGAGAACCTAAGAGCACTGGGAACTAAGGACATGATAACCTTTTTTTTCCAGTTTGTATCATCACCGATCGTCTGAGTTTTAGCTGTTAAACAGAACCTGTCTCAGCCTAAGTTGAATCTGCTGCTCCTGTGGTCCCGCAAAAATGTAGGAAAATGTAGGAAATGCTAAGTGTCGACCGACCATCGACCGAGTGTCGACCAATTACTGACCGACACATCGGTCAAGTATCGACCAACTATCGACCAAGTATCGGCAAAGTGTCGGCGAAATGTCGGCGAAATGTCGGCGAAGTGTCGGTGAACGAAAAGCTATATCGGCCGAGACACATCTGGAACGACTATCGGCCGTGTCTCGACCGAGTGTCGACCCACTATCGACCGACTATCGACCGCTATATCGACCGACTGTCGACCGAGTGTCGACCGACTATCGACCGAGTGTCGACCAAGTATCGACCGAGTGTCGACCGAGTGTCGACCGACTATCGACCGAGTGTCGACCGCTATATCGACCGATATCTCTCGGTCGACATTACCCACAGTAAACAAGATCCAGCATGTCTTAGCCATGTTGTTATTAATCTAGGAATTATTTTCAATGAATAATAAAACAATTGTTGAATTCGGCTTTCGTATCATATGAAGAATTATGGAGATCTGGGAGGGTGTTATCCGTCGAGGCCGTAACACCCTCCTCGATCTCCATAATTCTTAATAAGATACTCAGCCTCAATTCATTAATTGTTAATTTATGACCAAGTGAAGTGCTCACTTCACGGCGACAACAAATTATTTTTTTCGTCTTTCTTAAAATGGAATATTTAAAACCCATAGCGTGTTAAGGCCGCCTACACGTGCTAGTGCTCTTTAATTAATTAATTTTTCAAAGCGAAGCCTGCGGTGCATAACTATTCAGATGAAAACGAAATGAAAATTTATTTTAAAGTGAAAAGTTCGGTGTACCGTATTTATTCGATTGAACACCGCCCTCGATCAAACGTCGCGGATCATGGAAACAAAATTACCAATAAACGTCTCCCTCGAATAAACGCTCTATTGGGCGTAATCAACTGATAAATGAAAGTCAATTTGACAAGGTAAACGTTATCCTCTTATACGTTACCCTACATACAACCTGTCCGGCAATAGAGAGGAGAAGTGTGACGTCACGTTACCACGGTAGCACTATTTCTGGGTGACAAAAAAACCAACGACGACGGCGACGGCAAGGAGAACGGCAAAAACTAATATGTTTACATCAACAAACAACAACTTTCCACGTGAATCACGCTATTTTGTACATTTCCTTGCCGTCGTTGCACCACTACGACGTGAAACTTCCTAATTCCGTGAGCCCGCTTTATGGAGTAGGTAAACACAACCACAAAAACTGTCGCTTTCTTTTTCTAAACATAGATAACGACAGATGCGGTCCCAAAGAAAATTCCGCCAACATTTGCCAAATTAAATGAAATTGAACAAGATCGGTGAAGTTTGAAATAGTGCGAATAGACTTTAAAGTGACTTTATCGGTTTGTTGTCATCCAAAAATTTTGCTACCATGGCAACGTGACGTAACGACTTCTCCTCTCTATTTGTGCAAATTAGCGAGAAAGTTGCATGAAACGTTCCCGAGGGTAATAACTCCACCCATGTAAAGGAATACGGGAACATTTTGCCTGTGGAATCCGTAATCCTGGGCTAACAAAGAATGAAATCTGGAATCCATGGCGTAGAATCCAGAGTCCAAGACTGCCTTGAATTCCCTCACATGGGGTGAAAAAAAACCCGAAATGAACTTTTTTTTTTAAGCATTCGTCTTATATTAGAGTTGCGAGAAGTGCAACTTGGTTCGACGTTGTGCGCCGAAAGACAGCCAACGAAAACGTTGCGACACATGGCGATTTCAGGTGATGTTCCTAGGAAATTGTGTTGCAATGAAACTGCGAGACAAGTTGAGAGAGCAATAGCCTTCTGTAGCGGGAACCTAATTAACCTGTTTTCTTTCCATCACAGACTTGTGGTCTCGTGTATACAGAACTTGAATTGAAGCCTACACAAGATGAAGACGAAACTGAAGTAAACGCCAAGGGGTGTGTCACCATTTACTCTAGTATACAGGAGCAACAGTAAAGACGGCACTAAGTGACATCCTCTGAAGACAGGAGATCCCATTAGAAATTGCACGCTCAGTAATAACTAATTTGAAATATTATTTGCTGATATTCGCCTATAAAAAGTAACCATGTTTATAGTTTCCTAAAGCTGTAGGTCAATAGACCTCACTAGCTTATATGTTTTGTTTTCCCAATACAAGTCACGTGATAATACTCTACGGAACAGTTTCTTCCAAATTTCGTCTTATTTACGAGAACATCAACGCATACACTGTGAAAAGACAGCGGAGCAACTTCCCCTGGAACCTCTATTGGGAAAACAAACCATACAAGCTAAAGAGGTTTATTGTGCTATGCTTCAGACATACAATGAAACTGATGTGACTAGATCTTCTTACATACGCTGAGCTGCTAAGCTGTGTATCTATTGTCAACTACAAGGAGGTGGGGGCTGGCAACGGCCTTCGATCTTGCCGTTTTTCGGCTTTCCATGATCGCCCCAGTTAAGAAATCTGTCAACCATTCGAGAACTGTAGCGAGCATGCGTGAAACGGGCTGCGAACAACAACAACAAGTTCGTTTTCGCAGCGATTCGACAGTGAGAAGTGAATTCCGAATCAGGATAAATGAAGTCCCCTATGAACTGTTCACACATCACGCCTCCTGATGTCCAAAAGGTCCATTAAAAAAGGTCATAGAAACCTTTTCTTGATGTTTCGACGCAGGAAAACCGAAAACCGACCAAAAACTCATCGCTCTTCCAAATCTGCATTCTCCGCCATATTTGTTTTGAAGGAAAATTTGTACTGTCTCACTCGACCAAATCATGTAAACTCGGTTCCAGACCTCGCTGCCAGCCCCCCGCCCCGGTCAACCATGCATAGAGTGTGACACTAGACACTATTTTGACAACAAATCTTAAAAGGCAAACTCTATAAATTTACTGCTTGTTTAAGAAATGAATTATATTGATATTGTATTTAATCGTTTGAATAATAGTTTAATAAGTGTACAGATTTGATTTTACGGTACTTTATAGTTTTTGTTTATTAACTGGACTGTTCCGCCCGTGATGTTTGTTCAATTTGATCGTTCTCATTTCTCACTATCTATACAATGGTCAATGGCAAAGAGCCTTCAGTTGTTTAATTATGAAAACCAGGTTTTTGAGTTATCTGCTAGCAGATAACTATACAATCTGCAGGTTGTGAGGGCAATGCATGATATACCAGTTAAGTCAGTTAAAAAATTAATATGATTATATCAAAAGCGGTCTATGGTATGAAAGGAATTCAAAATTCCATTTTTTTTTTCAAACAACTCTGATTAAGCGTGAACAAAACAACTGATACAAAAATTATTCCGCATGACTATTTTTTTTTTAATTCATGTGATGTAACTTTGCTGCCGTTGTTCTTTGCCAAATAACTATACTGACTCTCTACAATACGAGCAACCAAATGACGTCAGTATATTTTAAAAGCGACGTCTGTGAGATTAAAATTTGATACAAACAAGTTGTCTTCCCCAGCTTATCCAAGATAGTCATGTAGATAATTAAGTGTATTACTGAACTTTAAAGGCGTTATAGACTATCGGGGCTCATAACAGAGGCTAACGCCCTAAGAAAGGGGTCTTTCCACAAGGCAGTAGGTAGGTAATGAAACGCTTAGAGTATCATCAAACGATGCCTGGTATGATGCATATCAATTTCAATTTTCGCATCTATTCGTGACAAATAATCTACAAAAGATTAGGCAAAAGAACCGACAGATCCTTAAAAGCTGCCACAGGAGAGAAAACAAAATGACAAGAACAAACACTACAGGAAGTATTCCTATGATTATTACTTCAACTACCTTTAACAGCACTAAACATATGTGGTCCTGTTCTGAAATGGTCCCACCACTGAGAGAGAAAATAAGTTCCACCATGTTGATAACCACCAAGACGAGAAGGGCGGCTAACGAGGCAGTCTCTCCACCGTTTACCCAAGGGTCTTTGAATGGTCTTTTCCACAAGTGATGTACGAGAATAAAAGCACACGCGATACTTAAGCAAACCATCCGGATGAAGGGAAACACGATGAAAGTGTGCAGGGAAATCAGCACCAGACGGCGAGCAATGAGGACACTCTCCCAAAACACTGCTCCTGAATCCTGGCCGTCGATACATTCCTTAAAGGGTCCGTAAATAACTTTCGCTGTTGAATCCTGGACGGGTATATCGTTTCTTGAGGAACTTGCACGTGGAGGTAGCAAAGGCAGTTGTTCGTCGCTAACTTGGTGGGTCTCTGTATTAGTAGGGGGAATCTTCTTGCAAAAAACCATCCACCAAATGGCGAACGGCAAGGGACACAAACAAGCATACAAGAACCGCTTCGTGGAAATTTCTTTACTAAAGAGCAGTTTAGATCCGCTATACAAAACTGAAACAAACGGTACAATGTACATGAAGATAAAGACCGCGCATAGTTTCTGCCACCAAGTCCAGCACTGGATATTCTCATCGTAGAAGAACCGTGATGTTGATTGAATGGGAACGCAATTCAGCGCCTTGAGAGCCGTTAGCGCTAATGTTGAGTAACTTAGCAGCAAACAATCTACTGTGGCAGCTAGGTATTGATCAGCGGGAGGGAAGACAGGACGTTTTCGTTGTATTTTTCTTTTAGCTCCATTGACGACGAAAATGAGTAGGACACCAAAGAGTACGGCAAACACTTGAGAGGCCTGCAAGAAGATCTTTGAAACAACTGTTAGTCCGAGAAATGGGCAAACCAAACCGCCTTTTAAGCCAATTGCTTTGAAATCGAACCACCCCATTACAGCGACTAATAAGTAGTTTTCTGCCAGATGCATCTCGCTGTCTTTAGATACAAATACTAAACCAGCGACTTGGTAGAAGTAGAAAATCACCTTGACGTATCCACTGCCATCCGATGTCAAATCACTGACAGCTGCTCTCTTTCGGGCCCATGGTAAAATCCGCCGGGCATAACATATGATTGAAGACTTTCGAAGAAGGAAGAAGCTAAACGCAAAACTGTACAACAAAACGACTGGCCAGAACCAATAATCTTTGCAGTTGTTGTTCTCTCGGCACTTTGCAGAAAAGAGCGTTTCTGTATAACCAGATTTACATTGTCCACAAAGGACACCAGTGCGATTTCCAGAACACCCACTCGCCAAATATCTTTGGTTTTCGTACTTGCAGCTAACATTTCGATATGGACAACAGTAGTCAGTAGAACATTGTCGGAAGCTAACTGATCCGTGGTCATCAAGTGAAGGAAATCCCCAAAATGTTGGGCTGGCGGCGATGTTCCTTGTGCAATTCCCACCATAAGGGCAGGGCCGACAACTTTTACCAGATGGTTCAACACAGTAGTATCCAGGAGGACATCGTTTACAAGAGTAAGTAAATGATTGAGCTATAGTCTCGTATATTTCGTTTTTGCAGTAACCATTTGAATTCAGACGAAGGTGTGTGAAGTTCCTTAAGGATTGCAACGTTCCTATTCTCGGTTTTCACATGACGTCATCAAAATTCAAACTAAGAAACTATCGATTCTTCTGAGATTCTGAGTTTCATGAGGTATTACAGCACCTAAACACCTTTATTTAAACAGAGGTTTGGTTCGAAAGGGTTCTTCGTTTTGCGATAGAGGACGTTTGAATTTCTAGGCTTTTGCGTGACGCGGCATTTAGCTGGCGGCCGGGACTGCTCTTCTGTGGGTTAAAAACATTACCAGTTTTGGGAGATTTTGCTATCTAAACATTCCTTCTGTCAGAATAAATATCACTTTAATAGTTTATGAGTTTTTTAAGCGATGAATTAACGCATTAGTAGGAAAACTCAAAAACAGATGTTTCTGTTGGTTTCCGGCGGCCATATTTGTGCCCCTCAAAGGGACACAAACATGGCGCCTCCATACAAAGCTTTATAAATTTGGGTAAAACGTTTTTCCTAATATCTCGCATATGAAATATCGCACAGACCTGATTCTTGGCAAGGTCTTTTGCTTATTTATCTTCTTTTATTTCCAAGATTCGGGACTTTCTGTATCGAATGGTTTGCAATTTTATTTTTGATTGCGTGACAGTGAAAACCGAGAATTGGGCACTGAATGATCGACGAATTATCAATATTTGATGAGTTTGAGCCAGTTACCATAAAGTACGAGTCAATATCCTGAAACGGTTTGGCTTTGAGAGTCGTGTTTTTCAGTTTTATTGGCCCACTACTTGCAAAGTATATAAAGCCGCTAAATGTCTCCTCCCATTGTGAAGACTTATGAAAAGAGGTGTCAATCAGTTCGAGATTAGTAGAGCTTTCTCCGACGAAAACAGTATAAGAGGCATAATTGTCAACAAACTGACATTCGCTGAAAACATTCCAACCACTTTCTAGTCGTATAATAGAGGGATTTAAGGCTTTGTTCTTACGGAATAATACGTTAGTCAGTCGAACTTCGTTTTTGTAATCATACCAATTACAAACCTCACGATCTATATTATCGGGAGGAAATCGAAACAGTACAATTACCCCTGGCGATGTATTGTTCTCAAAGATGGCATCTTCAATCGTTATGTTGTTTCCCTGAGTTACAGAGTAGAACGAAAATAGTGGTACATTTGAACTTAAATATGTGTTTCCTCTGAATGAAGTGTTTTTAATTTGTACCAACGAATTTCCTCTCACCGTGAAATTTATTGAAAAGAGTTCGTTATTTTTGAAATGAGCGTTCGCTATTGAAACAGTATTTGATTTGAGACCTTGAAGATCACTCACTTCAACACGAATCCCACTATCTTTGTTATTCTTGAATTGTAATCCATCAATATTTATTTCTATATGACTCCCAGAGTATATAAATAAAAGAAACGGTCTTTTGTTTTTATCTGCCCAACGTTCTGCATAATTTCCAGATATGAGGGTTCTAATAACAAATAAACCGAGGAAACTTGAGGAAATGTGTGCGATTGCCAATCCGTAATAAAATCTCTTGTTATGAAGTGAGTTACCAACGAAAAAAGAATCTACAATAGAGATGTTCGATTTCCAGACGTCCAACCACAGAGTCGAGGACCCATTGGCGGCTGAATTGTACATGAATGAAACTTCTTCCAAACGAATTGTCATATTGTTGCAAGACGGACAATCAATCGCCAGAGCTCCTCCTTTGCTCGAAGAAGGATCATATCCTGTAATAACGTTTTCCATAAGCAAACTTTTTCTCACAAGAACTGAATACACGTCGAAAAAAGAAGGTGAAAATTAAATTGCTGACCCGGATATTTGGGCGCTATTTTCAATAAATTCACTGTCGACAATATTTAAGAATGGCCCGGCCTCGTAAATATAAATAGCACCACCGTAATAAGGAGAACCGTTGTTCACGAAATTACAGCTTGTTATCAAAGTGTTAACGCTGTCAAGAGTAGTCAAGGTAATCGCTCTTCCTAGATTGCTGGAAAATGAAACTTTACTGATGGACAGCAAACGTCCTGTTTCGCTTGAGAAGAATAAATGCGATTTGTTGTCCACATTTCTAATCTGTGTCTTCTTGCTGCGATGTCGTTGGGATTGACTGTTTGTCGTCTCCCCAGAGATGATCCCCTCCAAATAAAGGCACCCTCCTAAAGGCGCTTTGTTTCCCACGAATAAACTGCTGGTTAACGAAACAGATGTCCTGGGATATCTTAAACGTTCGGTTGGCAACAGCACCATAAAAATACTCTGATAAATCCACTTAAACAAAGCGCTTGTACCGTTGGCGGTATTGTTGATAAACGCAGTTTCGAAAATTTGGATTTTCGGTCTGCTCCCAAGGACATAGATACATGGAAAACCATTGTTGATAAACTTGGACCGCCCAACCCTCAAGGAAAGGTCATGTTCATCAAACGATTCAAAATGAACTACACCTGTTGCGTTTGGAAAAGACATGGCATCTTTGAAATGACAACTATCTACAAACAGCGAGCAATTCTGTACAGTAACGTGGCTATTCAAAAACGTAAGGCCAGAAAACCGAATAACAACATTTCTAGTTAAATTCCTGCCATCAAACAACATTTGCCTTGAAGAGGAGCACTGAAGGATTGCCTCATTTTCTCCATACCCTTCAAACGATAGGCTCATGTTGATGTAAATTTGCTCCGGATCTGATGTACCCGATGAGCAAGGATAGGGATCACGAGATGTTCCAGTGCCATCAATGCAAATGGTGTCGTTCCATTGCGCCTGCGTAACAGCACGACCAATGGTTTTACAAGCTGATTCGATCGTTTCGCCACAGGAAAGGAAGTCTTTACCAGAGTAGCGAGAAACATAGATCTGTTTCCCCTTCACTACTGCGAAAATTAAACAAGGAGTTACTCAAGAGGAAATCATACGAGGGTAGGCCAGGTCATTATAGAAATACAAAATGACAGGAATGGGTTGAATTTTGTTATCATAAGGGGGCCCC